ATATATGTACTTCCTAGAAGGTTGTGGATTTCTGTCGGGGGGGGGGAAGGGGGTTATAATATTAACTTATAATTATTTTTGTAATTTTTAATTTACAAGTATAAATATAGAGTCCTCAGCATATCATCTAGAAACTCTCTGTCTGATAATTACATTTTTCTACAATTCTTTTAACTAACAGGTGAAGCTCATGTGCTGCAAAACAAAACCCTGGTTTCCAGCATCTTCTTTTCAAAAAAATGCCCCTGGGCACCACATAGATCTCATAAGCTTTCTTAAAGATATAGTGATGCTTTGTTCAGAAATATGCCCATTTACTCACAAAAAGAAAAAGAAAAAAAAGTAGCATCCTATGAGGGGGACCTAGGTAGTAGTATGCATTTTGTAAATAGTTGTGTCCCAATGGCTAGCTTCTCCTGAATTGTAAATCTTCCCCAGCCGGTCTTTTCCAAAGGTGTCTCAAACCTGTTCTCTAAATTCCAGATGTGCCCTCAGCCCCAAAAGGACCCCCGACCTAAAACAATCATCTGAGCTGTTTGGGAGATTTCGTACTCAACCATCAGTTTCCAGTTAAAGGGTATAATATTTTTATAGACAACTGTCTGGAGAAAGACATCACAAACAGCTTTTTCTCACATAAAAAATAAAAGGTATACAGAGAGAAGTCAGCTTGTAGGGTTTTTTTGCATAAGAGAGAAGTATGGGCAATCAGGCCTTTCCTTATCTTGAAAAGGAAGGCAAAGGTTTCTAGAAAGACCCCCTTTCCTGTACGGTATCATTTTGTTGACTTAAAAAGTCCCTTCACCTGTGTTCCTGAAGAACAGAAATTTCAGTTGGGTGTTGATAGCACTGGATGTGAGAGAAGAATGTATGTTCTTGGGCTCTCAGTATGGTGTCCTGGTGGCCATTGTCTCATCATAAGGTTTGGAATGTTACACTCTCTGCCATTCCTTTCCAATGGAGTTAATTTCAGCTACTCATTTGCTTTTCTTCTGGAGCTGGAAAGAGAGTGGCTTAGTCTTCTAAGGATAATAGCATGATAAAATCCAAATGTACAGTAAATAATGATTATCCCTAGTGGTAAGTAGCACAGTGTTTTTTCTGAATTGATAGCAAGTTTATTCTTTATTACTAGAAAGGTAGGTGTAATGACCCAGCAGCAGGCAATTGGAATAGGGTGCACCTACAATGCTGTGCCTGATTTGTTTTAACTCTGGTCTCTTAACTAAAGTACAGTGGTTCAATTAAAATACACTTTACAAACTACAACTATAAACTACAGTGATTGGGTCTGCAGAACATACTCAGCCAAAATCAAATAAACCATATATATATATGTATGTACGTACGTGTGTTTGTGTGTGTGTTTGTACAATATGTGAACTCAGAGAAGTAGTTGGTCAAGATATAAGCTAATATTGGACTGGGGGTGGGGGATGGGGACATTTTTCTTTAGATGAGACTGGAAGCTGGTCTCTTTGGAGAATCAGGTGGCTATTTTGGCCTGTAGCATATTCTGCAGCTTTGGCTGGTGGAAGAACCCTCTCTCTTCCTGATAGAAAGGCCAACAACCCATGGCTTAATTACCTTTTCTTCAGATTACCACAGTGCATATTACATGAAGCTTCCCTGATGTGTGTTTGGATGTCCAGTTAGTACAAAATAGGGCAATTGGATTGCTTCCAAGTGTGCACTGTGAGCACTCTCATGCACAAGTCCTCTAACAATGGTTTATTTCTGGGACATTCAGGGCAGTAGGAGATTAAAACTTTTGCTCTTTATAGATTTTTAATGATGTTGGTGGAATTAATTCCACTATTTTAAAGTCTTCAGTTCTCAAATTGTTAGAATAATTTATTTTTAAAATATTGTATTATAAATTGCTTTTAGATTCTTTGGGTCAGAAAACAACTTTTTATTAAATATTACAAGTCCTTACCACCATGTCTGAACTGGAAGATTTGGGACGTAGCACCTACATACTACAAAACTCTAAAAGCTGTAAGCAG